AATCCAATGCTCATGGCCATGATTGATGATATAGTGAGGAGACAAGTAAAGAAAGTCAAGGAAAAAGATGATGAGAACTTTCGAATAATTACAAAACCTTACCCAGCATGGGTAGATGCTGTTCCATTCCCTTCTGGTTTTTCCCAACCAGATTTCAAAATATTTGATGGAACAAGAGATCCAAGACAACATGTGGCTCATTTTCTTTCAAGATGCGGGCCAATAGCCCAGAATGAGGCCTCTGTGCCTACAGCTATTTATCCAATCACTTGAAAGTTCTACATTTACTTGGTGTGCTAACCTTCCTGAGAGATGAATCCCAAATTGGGATTCCATGGTGAAGGAGTTCCTTAAACAGTTTTGCAACACACAAAGGCGAGTTGGAGTACTAGAACTGATTAAGACCAAGCAACGTGACAATGAGTCTGTTACAGATTTCATTGCAAGATGGCGAGCTTTGACATTTGTCTGTCCTCAAAAGTTTACGCAATTAGAGTTAATTCGGATGTGCCTTAACAACTTCCAACATGAGCTCTCTATGGCTCTTATGGCTCAAACTTTTGAAGGATTCAACGATCTATGCACTAAAGCTCATGATATGGAGCTGCATCTAGCTAAACGAAGGAGGCCTAGGGCTGTTGAAAGGGTTAAGTCCTCCACTACAGCTATAATTGAAACCAAAAAGAAGGGTCCCGTTGTAGTAGGGGCTAAAAAGCCCAAGGAATTTAAAAAGATGACTATGAAAGAGAGGATGGAAAAGAAATATTCGTTCGCGGATGATATGGTCGAAGATATGGAGCTGCACTAAAGCTCATGATATGGAGTTGTATCTAGCTAAACGAAGGAGGCCTAGGGCCGTTGAAAGGGTTAAGTCCTCCACTGCAGCTATAATTGAAACCAAAAAGAAGGGTCCCGTTGTAGTAGGGGCTAAAAAGCCCAAGGAATTTAAAAAGATGACTATGAAAGAGAGGATGGAAAAGAAATATTCGTTCGCGGATGATCTGGTCGAAGACCTATTTGAAGATCTGTTGGAGCAAAAGTTGATTGCTCTCCTTGAGGTGAAAAGACCACATGAGGTAGGAAAGACCAACGATCCAAAGTATTGCCCCTACCATGGTTTGATTAGCCATCCGATAAAGGAGTGCTTTGTTCTGAAAGATAAAATTTAGGAACTTTTTTACTTTAAGATTATCGAGCTCCCTCCTCAAGAGAAAGCATCTGTTAACCTAATCACTATCGACAATGATAATGAAGGTGAATGGGTTGTTTATCAGTCAAAAAACATGAAGAAAAAATAAAATGCCATAATGAAAGTTAGAAATGTGGTTGCTTCAACAACACAAAGGCCAAAAACTTCTAAAAAGCAAAAACCAAAAGTTTCCAGGAAACAGAAAAAATCCAAAGTAAGTACGAGAAAAGGAAAGAAGAAACCAAAGAAGGAAAAATATGAGAAATTGGTCCCTGATGAGCAGTTAGAGCAGTGTCCCCTTGTCCCAGGTACATTGGAGGAATTTTTGCCTTCAAAATTTCAATCTGTGGAGTTGCAGACATACTTTGATAAAAGGAGAGAGGAAAAGTTTACTTTGGCCCCTTGCCTAACCATTATTGTTTTGAGTGATGACGAGGAAGATGAGGGTGAAGTTGGTTCAAAAGTTAGGGAAGAAGATTGCATTGCATCTCCTATCTGTATACTTGACTCTCCAAAGTATACACCAACTTCTCCAGAGTACTTACCAGAAGCCTTTTCTTTAGAGTATTCGCCAGTACCACCAATGTACTATTAAAGCACTCCAGAATATGTAAGGGGAACAGAACAAGGAGACACTGGGTGTAGGTCCGACTCTGAGCTTGTAAAAAAGGCAAAAAAATGACTACACTTCAAGGATGATGAGGTGAATTGTAGGTGTAAGTCAGATGACGAAGTATGGAAGCATTCAAATAAACAAGCAAAGTCATCTCAAATTTAGGATTCTAATGAAGATTGAGAACTTGACTTTTCTCCTAATAGTTCACTATACACATCTCTAGCCAGGACATACGATGGAGAAAGTGTATCAAGTGACCACTTTGACTTTCCTTGTAATGTCATCACTGTGGATGTAAATTTTGAAGAGCGAGAAATACATATCATTCGCAATCTAAGTGATGATGAGAAAGAAAAAATTGAAGCTAGAAAGGAAGTGGAACATCAGGCAAAAGTAACAGTCTCTTTAAAAGATGAGGGTTTTGAAGCCCATCAAAATTTGATTATTGAAAGAAATCAAGTTTCTGGACACCCTTTCCCTAATTGGGTCGAATGGGTTCAGTTCCCATGAGGATATACAGTACCTCGTTTTCCCTTATATAATGGGACAAGTTGTCAAAAGCGCCATTTAGTTCGTTTCCTTGTATAATGTGGAAACACAATAAAAAGCCAAGCGTTACTTCTACGGCAGTTCATTCTTTCTTTGGAGGGATAGGCAGCAGATTGGTACTTCAGCCTACCACCTAAGTCAATCCCAGATTGGGACACCATGGCTGATGGATTCTGTAGGACATTTTATAAACCATGGCCAATAGAAATCGAGATGTCAGAACATTTGGAGGACGAGGGTACATCTTCTCAAACATATGATTTCATAGAAGGCACAATTAAGAAGAAGATTGAAACTGCCCTTAATCTTCGAGAGATAGGCACTTATTGCCCAAGGGATTTGTTCCCTTTGTGGGTAGAGCAAACACCATTTCCCGAAGGATACAAACTTTTGAATTTTGTCCTATATGAGGGGTATGGAGATCCTCAAAAACATATTAGGCGTTTTTTGAAACAGTGTGGGGAAATGGCTCAGAGTCAAGCACTTTGCCTAAAACAATTCCCCTTTCTTTGGACAGGATTGCCTTCGACTGGTATTGCTCCCTCAAAAGAGTCGTGGTGCCTAGTTAGGAGGCCATGAAGAACGGTTTTGTAGAATCCCAATGCTTTTATAGGCGTGACTCCCGGTATCTACGAAATGGGAGAAGAATGCAGCTCCAGGAAGATGGAGAAGTGACTGATAATGATGATCACCCTGTAGCTAGACCAGTTAACAGGGTCCAAATAGGTGAGGGAACAAAAGAAGTTGAGGTCAACGAAAAGGCGGTTGCTGAAGTATGCCGGACTTACTTGACCTACCGGAGGAAATTACGAAATCCTCAGGACCCTCAAACGTCAGAAGTTCCACAAGTTTTGCTGGAGGAAGAGCAAGTGAAATATGATGTATTAGCTCATCTAAAGAAAATTTCAGCATTGTTGAATGTATATGATGCACTGAAAATGCCTCCAGAGCTTCGAAAGTCTTTAATATATGCCCTGTCCAAGCCAGAGGATTTCCAAAAAGAAATCGAGGGTAAAAATCAAGAGAAGACAACTACATGCATGGCTATGGTAACCTTAGGTGACAATGACATGTGTGCCAAAATGACAAACCATAATCGGCCTTTGTTTATCACTGGGCTTATCCATGATGTGAAAATTTCTCGAATTCTCGTTGATGGAGGATCTGCCCAGAAAGCTGAAAGTTTGAGAAAGATTACTGAAGATTATGTGAAAGCATCAAAGCAGTACGCAATTGTAAGGGCCACAGCCCGAACGAAGAACTTTCTAATTCAGGCAAAGGAGGCTAATCAGTTTGCAACTACGACTTTTGTTGCAGCTTCAACGGGGGCAACAAAAAATGTTGTGGCCCAACTACTCAAAAGGGTAGAAGACTCCATTAAAATGGTGGAGTCTGCCTAGAAGAAAGCCTCTGCTGAAAACATGGCCATCATTAGGGCCATTGGGAGGAGGGTAATGACCAAAACTCCTGTTGATGGAAAAAAGGCCCCTGTTGTTGAAAAAACAGTTGCGGCCTACACACCTATGTGGAGAAATATAATAAGATTGTGGTCCATTCTAAAGGAAAAGGGTCGAAACCCATCATATTCCACTCGCTTGGAGATGTTGAACAGAGAGTGAAAGTTGAACAAGTGCCAGAAGAAAACATCTCAAGTTTTGAGAAGCCTACCTTTAGTGCAGAAATTACACAGATGTTGGTAAAAGTTAGTTTAGATCCTTAAAAAATACCAGCAAGAACAATGACACCCTTTGACTTTGTATTAATGCCTTCACAGATACAGGCTATCCAGCAAGGCGGTATTATCACCGCTAAGACAGAAGGGTTAGGCTATCTGGGGGATGAGGAAAAATTTCCAGTAAACATGACTATCACTCAAGATGTGTTAGAAGATGTTGACCAAGATGAAGCTCAACCTGCACTAATAGAATTTGAAGCAGAAGGCCAAGCCACCGTGGATAACCTTCGTGAGGTAAATTTGGGTGATGAAGAAGAAAACAAACCAACCTTCATTAGTGCAAATTTAAAGGAAGAAGAAGCTCCGCAATATATTTCCTTCTTAAGGGAGTATCGTGACATATTCGCATGTAACTACAGTGAGATGCCTGGTCTTAATCCAGAGATTGCAGTCCATAAGCTTGCAATTCACCCTGAGAAACGGCCAATTAAATAGCTTCAGATGCGAACTCAACTAGAGTTTACAGCCCAAATTGAAGCTGAAATCGACAAGCTTATCAATACAAGATTCATCAAGGAAGTCAAATATCCAACTTGGCTAGCAAACATAGTGTCAGTCAAGAAAAAGAATGGTCAAATCAGGATTTGCATTGATTTCTGTGATCTCAATGAGGCTTGTCCTAAAGATGACTTTCCCTTGCCTATCACTGAACTTCTTGTAGATACAACTGCTAGGTATGAAACCTTGTCTTTTATGAATGGATACTCAGGATACAATCAAATCCGAATGGCACCTGAAGATGAGGAAATGATTGTATTCAGGACTTCGAGAGGAGTCTTTTGCTAAAAGGTAATGCCCTTTGGCCTGAAAAATGCTGGGGCCACATATCAAAGGGCAACTATGTTGATGATCTTGACCATGTGGAAGATTTGAGAAGAATCTTCGAAAGTTTGAGGAGGTAGAAACTCAAGATGAACCCACTAAAATGTGCATTTGGAGTTTCCTCAAGAAAATTTCTAGGGTTTGTGGTTCAAAACAAAGGAATTGAAATTGACCCTACCAAGATTAAAGCCATTGCTGAAATGCCTCCTCCGCGAAATTTAACGGAATTGAAGGGGCTACAAGGGAGATTGGCCTATATCAGAAGATTTATTTCTAACTTGGCTAGTCGATGCTTGCCATTCTCAAGATTGATGAAAAAGGGTGTTCCATTTGAATGGGATCAGCAGTGCCCAAAAGCTTTTAATAGTATTAAAGAGTATCTTTTGAAGCCTCCAGTATTCATGAGCCCAATAAAAGGGAAACCACTCTTGTTTGCATAACAGCACTGGATGGTTCGTTAAGGGCACTATCGGCACAACACAATGAGCATGGGAAAGAAAATGCCTTGTAATACTTGAGTCGTACTATGGTTGGGGCAGAAGTCAATTATTCTCCTATCCAAAAGACATGTCTTGCCTTGGTGTTCGCCTTGCAAAAACTAAAGCACTATGTCCTGGAACACGAAGTCAAGTTGATATCAAGAGTAGACCCCATGAAATATATACTTTCACGGCCCATACTTTCAAGGAAAATTGCAAAGTGGGCTATAATTCTCCAACAATTCGCAATTGAATATGTTCTCCAAAGAGCTGTAAAGGGGCAGGCTCTAGCAGATTTTTGGGCAACACATCCTATACCTGATGACTCGCCTCTAGTAATTGATTTACCAGATGAAGAGGTTATGCAAGTAGAAATTCAGAAAGGATGGGAGATGTATTTCGTTGGAGCTTCAAGGAGTCCAGATGGCAAGAAGCAAGAAAATCCTATAAAAACAATAAAGCTGGAATTGGAATTGTGTTTGTGACTCCAGACAATGCTATAATCACCTATTCTTTCGCCTTAAGTGAAGGATGCTCCAATAATGAGGCAGAATATGAAGCTGTAACTGCTATATTAGAATTGGCATTATAAATTCCTATTGAAGAACTCTCAATTTATGGAGATTCAGAACTGGTGGTAAAGCAACTCTGTGGAGAATACATTGTTAAAAAAACAAGTCTCATCCCGTATCATGAAAGGGCAGATCAATTGCTTTCACAATTCAGGAAAACACATATTTTCCACGTGAAGAGAAGAACAAATGCTCGAGCTGATTCACTTGCAAGTTTGGCTGCATCACTCACCCTACCAGATAGCAAAACAATTACTATCACGGTAGGTGAAAGAAGGGTGTTACAACCTTTAAAAGAAGTTTCTGACTTGGTTCCAATCTTGGTCGTCACCACTAAAGGAGAAAGCAAGGAGGATTGGTGGGAACCATTCATAGCTTACCTCCAACATGGTAGGCTACCTGAAGATAAAGTAAAAAGAATTGAAATAAGACGCAGGGCTACCAAATTCATCTTGTGGAAAGATGGGTTATACAAAAGGTCTTTGGATGGAATGTACATGCGGTGTATAGCCAAGGTGCATATTCAAGAGGTAATGGCAGAAGTACATGCGGGTGTATGTGAGGCACACCAAAGTGGTCCTAAATTACATATGCAGCTAAAACGGTTGGGATACTATTGGCCGACTATGATTGCAGATTGCATAGATTATGCTTGAAGATGCCAAGTCTGCCAATTCCATGGGAACTTTCTCCACCAACTCCCAGAGCCTTTACATTTAACAACTTGTTCTTGGCCATTTGCAGCATGGGGTATGGACATAATTGGTCCTTTTGTACCTCCATCTTCAGCAAGATATCGATACATCCTAGCTGCTACTGACTATTTCTCAAAATGGGTAGAGGCCGTGGCTTTAAAGGATATAAAAAGCACAGTTGTCTCTGAGTTCATCCGAACCCATATCATTTACAGGTTCGGGATTCCAGAAAGTGTTATCATGGATAATAGACAATCGTTCAGGAGTGATGCCTTGAACAAGTTATTTGCCAAGTACAAAATCAAAAACAACCATTCATCAAGATATCATGCACCTGCCAATGGTTTGGCAGAAGCTTTCAACAAGACATTTTGCAAAATTCTCAAGAAGATGGTGGATAAGAACAAAAAAGCTTGGCACGAAAAGTTACAAGAAGCTTTGTGGGCTTATCGGACTTCACACAGAACTCCTACTCAAGCAACCCCTTATTCGTTGGTCTTTGGAGGAGAAGCAGTGTTACCGCTTGAGGTTCAAATACCATCATTGCGAGTGGCAATACAAGAGTTCTTAACAGAAGATGAAAGTGCAAGAGTAAGGTTGGCTGAGCTCGAGACCCTAGATGAAAGAAGGTTATATGCTCAACAAAATTTGGAGATCTACCAACAAAGGATGGCAAATGCGTTCGATAAAAGGGTGAGGCTCCATTCCTTTAAAAAATGAGACTTGGAACTAATGGTTAAAACACCCATAGTAATCTCACGAAGAACTAAAGGAAAGCTTGAGCACAAATGGGAAGGACCTTATGTGATTGAGAAGGTTTATTCTAATGGGGCCTATTTGTTGATAACGATGGATGGTGACAGAATCATTCTCCCGACCAATGCATGGTTCTTGAAGAGATATTACCCTTAAGAAAGCGTGCTAGGTTGAAAAGCCGAAAGGGCGACCTAGGCAAAAGTTAGGGCTAAAAACAAAAACAAACAAACAAAAAAAAACCACCAACGGTATTGTATGTGGTTAAACTGCTAAAATACCCCACCAAAATCCAAGGTGGTAAAACATTAGATACTCCTGACCCGCAAGAGTATAAACTGTGTACGGCCAAACATAAGTCGAAGACCACCAACAGTATTGTATATGGTTAAACTGCTAAAATACCCCACCGAAATCTAAGGTGATAAAACATTCATTCATTCATTAAGAGAAGCCTTAGCCCTTTCAAAAACACGTTTCACAACACTGTGTTGTCCATTCTTCTTCTTGTGCTGGCTCAACACATTTAGAGCAGTTTGAACATCTTCTTCTGATTTAGAAACACTCTCGAAAGCTTGTGCAAAATCACACATAAATGATGCATGCTTCGCTTGGTTGGATGACAATTCCTCTTTAAGTTGCTTGAGTAATTCTTTGGTTTGAATAATCCTTTGATTAAGACCCGCAATGTGCTTATCCGACTTGATAATTGAAGCAAACAACTGTTCATGTTCGCCAGAAACTTTGTCGAAATGAAGCTTCTTCTCATAGTATTGGGCCTCAAGTTCTGTAGTAGACAAGTTTGAAGAATCTACAAGTTGGATTTTCAAAGAAAAGCACCCAGGAAATATCTTCACCTTCTCATAAAAGGAGGTGAAGTCTACACCCAAACTCTTCAAAATCATGAAAACATTATTTTCTACGGCAATCATGCCATTAAAATCCGTCATTGATTGGAGAGAAATAGTAAGACCTTTCTGAATATGGGTGGTCGCATCGTTAGAGGAAGTCCCCAAAAGAAGGCTAAATGGGGTAGGGGGTGCTTCAAGTCGGTCAAATAATTTGTTAACCCCATTTGCTTCAAGTAAGACTGCAAGAATTTGGGCCTCTTCTGAGGTATCAGAAGTAATTTCGTCTGCCTCTTCCAATGTGTCAGAAGTAATTTCTATGAAAATGGAAGGAGACACTCAATGAAAACATAGAATATAAAAACAATATATATATATATATGGATGAATGAAGTATACCGTGGTGTACGGCTTAAAGAGACTTAGGTGTGGGAGGAGACAAATCATGATTCCCACAAGTGGATCATGGATTCTGCAATATGGCATTATCTAAGGAGAAAAGAGTTCCTTGAGTATGTGTACCTAATGAAAAAAATGAGGTACAAGGAATGAATAAGAATACCCTTAAAGGTAGCCAATGGCATATACGAGGCAGCTGGGGAAGTCCGAGGCGCAGTGCCTAAGAAAATGAAAGGTTTTTAAATAAATAAATAAATAAATAAAAAGAAGAAGAAGGAATTATACCTTTCTCTAACAACTTGGATGGCTTTTTCGAAGAAAGAGAAGAAAAACCTACATTTTCTAGGGGCAATTTACTCATCTTAGTCGGTGTGTTGTCTAAAAGAGGGGTGTAGTCATAAAACTCATCTTCGCTCTCGCTACTCCCATTAAGAGAACGATCAAAAGATTTGGTGGGAGAAGGAATTTCAACACTCTTAATGCGAATACGACCCAAGGCAGTTAATTCATACTCATCTCCCTCAAAGAGTTCTTGAATCATATTCTTATCTTTATCTTCAAGAAAAGAGTACAGGTATGTGCGAAATTGGTCCATTGTGGTTTTGGTCGATATTGTTGGTTGGGAAGTTCCTGTACAATCATTGATAGACATAGTCTCTGAAAAAAGCTTTGTTAGACTAGAAAATTGAGGGCCAGAATCTACTTGCTCAAAGCTAAATTCCATTTTAAATTAAGAATTACGCATATCCTCAAAAAGATGAAAGAGATCTGAAACTGAGTAACTAGATCAGGAAGGAGCAATAGGTGGCCGACTATTATCCATTCTCTGAGGTGACAATGCATCCAGAGCAATAGGTGAAGATGATGAACTAGCTCTAGAGTAAGAAGGCTTCTTCATCTTTCGGTCTTTAATTGAAATATCCAGTTTTCTCTTGCGTGAAGATTTTGGGTGGGTATGAGTAACATATTGGAGCACGGTAAAGGAAGTTCCCAACCACCAATTGGCATAAGGCTTGGTTACGTGAGAAATAGATCGGGAGCCTGGTAACTCCAACGAGACTTTTGTACCACAGCATAGCATATGGTGCCAGTTGTAATAAAATTTAGACCACTTAGATGGCTGCCGATAAGATACATTAAGCGGTGTAGGGCACGCTTGAGCAAACCCAAATTGACGACTGTATCGGTTAGGGGAGTACGGTTCAAAAATGAAATTAAATCCCATTTTAAAAGTTAAAATCCCTTGCCTCAAAGATATAAGATAGCCCAGGTGGAAAGGTGATATCCTTTCAAAGTCGACCAGAATGCCTGAAGGTTTACCTTTATGGGTCAGAGCCCTAAACTGACACTCCGTACGATAGGTTAGGAGAGAGTCCACAAATGGAAATTTATCAGTAAAAAACTGGGCAGCCGATTAGTTTCCAATAAACCCAAGATATGGCATGAAATGAATATCAGGAATCAGACAAATCGACTGAGGATCCCCATGAGAGTAAGTTTTAACAAAATATAGTGAAATCCATCCAAAAAGGTAATGCAAAGGACCCTGAATATTTTCCTTCCCAAGTGAAGGTGATGATGCCATTTTACTAAGAGAATGATAAAGGTATGCAAGGACGGGGATGGCCAGGCTAAATAAGGTTCCACCGGCCATTTTGGTGGCTGCATGAAAGGTAGTCGGATGAATTTCCCCA